ATTAAGAAATAACATCCTTAAGGTATCGTTTACTTACAGTTATTAATCTCTTTAAGGAAAGTATTTATATACTATGAAAGATTTATTGAAATCATCATAGTATAGTATTATGTAGGCATTATTGAAATATATATCAAAACCTTATAGCACACAATGTCGAAAAGATTACTTTCTGCATTTTTCAAATTTTCCAGATACCTTCATTTCATGCGCTATGCATATTTGTTTGAAAAGGAGTATAATTAAAATTTTCTTCATGTATTGATATCATAGTTAGAATAATTAAATCGTTGTCTTTATTTTAATAATTAACTAGGTATTGTATCTTACCAAAAGGTAGTACTGAATATCTCTCACCAAGTTAGCCGGCTAAAAATTGTAGTACTTCACCAAATTCTGTTCAATATAATAAACGTATTTGTTACTATACACATCCACCGTGTGTAAATATTTAAAGGAATATGAAACAACAAATATATCTTTAAGAAATATAGTTATTCTACTGCACATTTCACATTACATCAACAGCCTTTAATAGTCCAGTGCTGGATAGACCCTTCCTTAGAAAGGAGGTTTTGGACAAAACAAGTTTCACTTCTCTTCGCAGTGCTGTTGTAGTGTGTAGCTTGCTCCCTTAGTCGGCTCTTACGACACCCATGGAATGAATAGAGGTGATGACACTTCGTATTCTTAATCCGTCACCACGCGGAACAATATTGTACTTTAAAAAATATTAATTGTGAATACGAATACTGTCTTTAATTCAGTTTTCACTTACGTAAACTTGTTCTCTTCCTCGAACAGAAACATGACTACCAAAGTTCAAATATCAATAGACTTCAGCACACTTTGTTCATTTAGAAAAGCTGTTGCGAGCGGGAAGACGTTCTCTTGCAGTTCAATTGGCTCTTTCCCAAAGAAAATTTAACCACTTTGAAATATCATTTCAAATACTCTGCTGATATAGTCGGTAAAGGAATTAAGTTCCAACGATACTGCACATTTATTGGACCGGCCCATGCCAAAGGCCAGTTGTTTATAAACTAATAAACATAAGTATAAAGTGGAGTGCTTGTAATAACGAACTGCAAAATGACAATAAACTTATTATGAATAAACGTCTGTTTTACATAATTTTCTTAGATATTATGGCCAAAGGAACTACTTAATTTTCAAATTAGCTTTTTAAATTGGAAAGTTTCTCATCAACAGCGTCTAATAGTCCACTACTGGATATAGGCCTCTCCTTAGAAAGGATGTTTTGGCCTACTATACGACGCTGGCCAGACGGGTTCGTATAGGGTTTGCGTCAAGTTTTCCTTCTCTTTGCAGTGCTGTTGTCCTGCGTATTTTGCTCCCTTAGTCGGCTCTTACGACACCCACGGGATGAATAGGGGTGGTGACATTCCGTATTTTTAATCGACGAAAATTGGAAAGTTTATCGTTTGTTAATTTTTATGATAATTATGGTGATTTTATTCTAAATATCGTTAGCAGTATTTAAATTCACGAAACAACCCCTACAAGCCTTCTTCGACACCGCAACTTTTGATGTAGATGTGTGGCGATATTGATCTGTCATTTTATATTTAAATTATAGTTTACATTTTAATAAGGTGTATTTTGTTATTGATTTAATTCCATTTAAAGGAACATTTTTGGTTGTGTTTATTGTGGTTGAGTTAATTTCTTTGACATTTAAGTTATATCTTAAATAAATCGATAAAACATTCTTTTAAAATATACTAACTAAATATAAATACATTAAGCTGCATTTGAAACGTTCTCGTCCTCTTAGTGTAGAACCGTTAAAGTAGTCTCCGGCTAAATACATTATTTTATACCTAAATTCACAGGACACGTGTTTTTATTATATAATATACTAGCTGACCCCGCAAACGTTGTTTTGCCATATACATTATGTCGGTTTACCATAGCAGTGCCATCTATTGATTACTTACTCAATCCAGTCGAAAAGTATCGACATCTGTTAGAATCTTTTGGAGTTAACAGATAATTGTGACTGTCAATTAATTATAGACCAATAATTTGCAATAAAATAAAATTGCGACTATAATTAAAGATCTAAGCTATCCTATCTCTTAAGTTGGACCAGACTGCTCACGGTGTGCCAATTTAATTTAAAATCGGTTAAGTAGTTTAGGAGTCCATCGCGGACAAACATCGTGACAGGAGATTTATATATATTAAGATTGCCACAGACGCATTTAACATAACCGAACATCTGCATACCACATAATTTGCTTTAGCTAAACACAATGATTTATAAGAGCAAACCTCCTTGCATTGTTTTTAATCGACCTCGACAAAAGAAAGAGGTTCTCAGTTCGTCAGAATCTTTTTTGATGTGTTACCAAATTACTCAGAGATGGTTATACCGATTTGGAAACTGCCTTTTTGATTGGAATATTTTATTTCTCTTGTTGGAAATATAATAAATGATCTTTAGATTAATTACTGTGGTAAATATGCACATGACCATTATCTGCCACGATCTAGCAATTGGGAGATAAAAAAAAACACTTTTAAGAAATGGATAATTATTATGACTGTTTTAATGTATCACAACAAATGTTAGATACATTTTTTGGCTACCAAAATTAATCATACATAAAAATAACTCTCAATATTATAAAATGAAGTCGTAATAAAATAGTTTAAAAAAAAGGAAAAGAACCATAAATAATAATAATCTTTTAAGCTACGCAACCGATATTGATGTGGTTTTCACTAATAGAATGGGTGATTCAAGAGGCGGGTTTATATGTATAATACATGCATATTATAGCAGAGGAAATCCTAAAATTTTAAAGATTTGTAATGTGAAGTCTATCTAAGTATATCTTTAAAAAATCTACAAAATATAAGCGATGGTATATGTCTATCTCTTAAGGATAACCTTCTTTTTAACGGATACCGGATACGACCAACGGATTTTTATCTTTTACAAAAAAATATGAGTAATTTACAAAGCTATTTTGAATAATACAGTATTATTCCTTATCCAAATAAATACGTTGTGCATTTAATGTAGATCAAAACTGCCTTTATTACATTATTATGAAATCTTAGCTCCACACTGACACTACATTAGTAGTATTGTTAGTGTCTACATTGCATGCGGATTGCTAGTTCAATTATAAAAAGGAAGTCAAGATATTTTTATTTGGTGATATTCACTGAATTCCGAGCGAAGGCGAACAATATTAATGAAAGTAGTTTGATTAATGACGATTAATAAGCGCTGTTCTGTACAAAGGAACACACTTTTTAATTAAGTCGTTCGTTATAATATAAAACAATGTACTTTCGTTTCTGTCGACTCCCAGTTGCAGTAAATCTGGTTTTAAACTTTACCTGTTAACGGACGGCGTAAAATTTCCACATCCAACTTTTTACATTTAAACTTTTATTTTAGTTTTGTTATATATTCTCGTAAGTAGACCTCTTAATATCAACTAGAGGCTAATATTAAAACATATTTTAGTAACTGCAATCATAAAGCAATGTTTTATACAGGTTGTACACCTTTGTTAAAGAGGTACTCAATCCGTATCTATATTAATATTGTAAAATTGATTGATATTGGACTGTATCTAATCTAATACTTGCACTAAAGAGGACAAAATACAACAAGTTAAAAGAAAAAAATCGATTCGTAAGTAATAAGAAGTAATCAAAAGTATTTAGGTACTTTAATTAACAACCGGCCTGTCTATCGCCTCTTTTGAACAGACACCTGTGAAGTGGCAATTTGTACGAGAACGGGCAGATAATTGCTTTTCGGATAAAAACAGAATTAGACCTGCAAGTGCAACATTAATCCGAATGAACAAACAAATCAAAATATTTCATATCATGTCTAACTGCTATTATTTTTCTTATTTTTGATTTTACTGTGATAGAAACTCATTTATACAACTAGGTATACGTGTTTAGGGTGAGAGATGTTTGTTTGTTTATTTGTTTGTACAAACCAATGTCGCTATTTATCTCCAAAACTAATAGTTCGATTTTGATGCGGTTTTCAGTAATGGGTTCGTGGTTGAGTGTTACGGTGGTAACTTATTAGGGGGCGTAGCAGTAAACATTTTTCCTTAGCAAAACTACCTATGAACTTAATAAATAACCAAAAAGTATCAGTCGGGGTCTACCATCTCTATTTCAAATTTCAACTAAAATGAAGATGTCCTGTGTTACATTATGTCGTCGTAAAATAGCTTCAATGATATAATCATTGAAGCTATTTCACGTTAATATAAAACTGCAAAACTTTAGTTCATTCATTGTCTGGTTGGATATTGTTTGGTTGTTTATTAAGTTCATATGTAGTTTAATATGATATAATTTATTATTGCCACATCTAAGTATATCATCGAGAAACTAATAGACACGTAAGTGAAAGTGCTATGAAAACTGACACTTCATTGTTTATATGACCGACTTCGCAAGAATCAACTTTATTACAAAAGCTTATTACGTTTATTATCTTTCTTAAAGTTGGGTTTCGGGTTTTTAAATTACTTTTAACCTTTGCCGATTAAGTTTTAACCGTTGTGAGTTTTTCAAGATTTTAAATTTTGCTGTGGATGTGTAATGGATAAAGGATAAAGATTGCATTGGTCTAATTAAAAGTAAAAACAATAATGGTTTACTCAGTTCATTATCAATAGCATAGCATAGCATAATGGCCCACTGCTGCACATAGGCCTCTCCTGAGATAGCAGATTTTGCACTACTATACCACGCTTGCCAGACGGGTTTTGGTATAGGGTTTGTGTCAAGTTTTTCATCTCTTTGTAGTGCTGTTGCCTCCCTTAGGCTCTTACGACACCCACGGGATAAATAAGGATGGTGACACTCCGTATTTCTAATCCGTCACCATACGGACTTAATTTAATTCAACATCAATTGATTATGTTGTAATTGATACGCTTTGTCATAAACTTTATTTTTTGCAAGATTACAGATTAAGTTTTATGTACATTGAACCGAGGGTTTGTGTCAAGTTTTCCTTCTCTTTGCTGTATCCTGCGTAGTTTTGCTCCCTTCACGTCACCACACGGATAGCATAATTCATGCAAAAGCATAAATCACAGTAATTGTCAATTTGTTGACTAACATAAACACATATAACTAAAGAATTATGTCGTGTTCCAGGACGTAATCCGACTGGAAACCCAGTACTGGTCTTTGGTAGAGATTCCTCGTCAGGAGAAAGCGGAAACGGTGCCAGCGTTCGTTCTTCGTGCATGTGCTATAATGGAGAAGACGCAAAAATCTGGAGAAGGAGTGAAAACTTCCTCCAAACTTGCTGAAGAGGCTGCGGATAGAAGAGAACGGATAGAAAGACTGAATGGTATGATAATGTCGGAAAGCGTATGTAGATCAAAGCAAATTTTTTTCAATATAAATTTCATATTTTGTCTTATAAATTTTAAATGTACTTTTCACTATAGATTTAATAGAATATTATGCCGTTAGTCTTTAAAAATAACGTCCAATGCATTTCCTGAAAAATTATCAAAAGTGGTATTTTCTAAACATAAACTGTGTTTCTACAAAACAATATCTAAAAGAACGTAAGAGCAAAGTTTAGATTAACTTTGAGTTTGTTCGACTAACGATTTAATTAGAAGGATAACACGAAATGTGCATCTAATTTCTAAGGCCACTGGCGAAATGCCAACGCTTTGCTCACCAACGTTACAGCACAAACGAGTATCCAGTGCCAGGCATTTATTGCAATTCTAATTATATTACAAAGATTTCCGATCCGATTGGAATCGAGAACCGATGTTCATGTTTTAATGAATCAATAAAGCGAAAATACTATTTTTCGGTGGTGGAATTTAAAGCCAGCATTCAATCAATGCCGGCTGTTAAACGGTTTATGAAATATAAATATTCATGCCGGTTGAAATTGTTAATTTCAGAAATGGGATGAGACAGAAAAAGATCTGCAACATTCCATGTATGTTTGTATTGTTTGCTGTAGTACCAGAACAAAACTATCTAAAAAATATATTTTTAAACTCTGATTCTCCCATACATACGAGTATCATATGATGTTTATGTGGATTTATTAACTTTCGGCTAGTGTAGTTGCACTTTGCGGAAACCTAATTTTTACAATAAAAACTTAATTACAGACATGACAACATCGCAGATTGAAACAGAAAATACACAAATGACAAATGATTTGTACCGTCTACTTAAGAAGTATACTGGACTGCGAAATCTTATAAGAGAATTGAAGGTACGTGAAGTGAAAATACAAAATGACAAGAAGACACTTATTTACCTCATGCCCTAACCAACAGCCAACAGTGGCATACAGATAATCCTGTAGTGTTTGAAATTAAAGGTTTGGTCTTTTGCCATTTTTTGTACTATTTTAGTACAAAAATTAATATTTAAAAAAGTATTACCAATGTAATGCACCTACACCATGATGAATTGTAATAAACTGTATTTTTTATTCCTTCATTTTTCACCATTAGTGGTGGACTTTTAATTGAGATGAAACAAGAAACACTGAAGCACACCCTTTGAAATCAAATGGGAGTTTAACAAAACCAATTCATAAATGACGTAACTCTAGGGCAACAAACATAAAATACAAATCGATTGTAACTTCATTTAGAAAATGTTACATCATCCGATAGTCGAATTATGGAGTGTAGAAGAAAGGAAAACCACCTCATATCTAGGGAAAATTGAAAAAGTTTCCAGCTGTATGCTGAAAATAGAGGTCGCTGGTGGACAAAAAACTACGATATGAACATAGCTGTTGTAGACAGAGTGAAGTGGGCTGAGTTAAAATATTATATTACTTTTTTGCAGACACTTTTCATACACAGAGTTAGTTCTCCTTGCCTCTACCCTATATAAGTTGAATTTAATCATGTCGACGAATGTCTACGTTATCAATTACTACAATGTTATTGTTCATACGTCTCTAATATTATTACTAGTGATGCAGCTAAACGAGCTTACACAATTTCTACAAACATCAATTTTTTCTATTTCAGTCGGAGTACGTGAGCACAAAAGTGTACCCGATGTTCCCCCGCTACACGATGCTCAAAGACATGATCAAGGATATCATGCACGATCCTGACTACATGGAGGTCTGCCATGAAGTGGACCCATAGCGCGGGGTGCGCAAATAAATGAGGAGCTCTTTCACCGACCGCAAGAGGTCGTGTCGTCGCTAAGTCTCAGGTTGAACAACGGAGTGAGAAATGCGAAATAGATGACCTTGTATCTACCATTTTAGATAGCGTGCTTTGATCGTTAATCGATATATTTATAAATCGTTCAAGTTTAAATCGTAATTTACATTCATTTCGTTCTCGTTAATTAATAATTTCTAAAATGGCTTACAGTTTTTTGGACACACTGGATCAATTTCGAGTTTGTACGCCTCGGGCTAACAAATTCGTACTTTGTTGATAGCCTACGGTGTACAGAATATTTTATCCCGTTTAAAAAATATTTTTTTACGTTCTAAATAAAAAAATAAGAAAATGTTTTGTCAATTTTCGTTCAAAACGTAAATATTTTTAGACGTACGTTGTGTATTGAAAATTTTGAATATCGATTAACGATTTATTTAAGTTGTGTATTTAATAAACTGATCTGAAATATAGATTAAGTTTTTCAAAATGGTAGATGTAAGGCTGGGAAGTGATGATGACACTAGCGGCGATCGTTGTGACGAGTACTCGTTTAATTTGCGCTACTTTGTTAATTGGACTCTTTGTTTAGGGTAAGTCGGTGTTTGGTGTGTGTACTCGTCCTTATAGTGAACTTTCGGTTTCTTTACTTCTATTTGTAAACATTGTCAGTCCATCTGTTCTACTGCAGGTGCAATTATTTCCTAATTTAAATACTTCCGTCTTTGTAGCACGTACTTACTATATTTATAACTCAATAGTAATATCTTAGAGATTCAGTCACAGCCAGAGACAATTGCTAATAATGGAACGCTTCTCAAGTACCTCACGCATCTCTTCAACTTATTCCAATAAGACCCTACCTACTACTCTACTACTTTTCATATACTACACCTATAGGTATATACATACATATATAGATATACATTCTGCTAAAATATTTTTCTCATTTTGCATTTCCAATACACTATTACAAATAAAGCAAAAAAAGCAAAATAGGAAAAAAATGTAAACATATCTTCTCGTAACTTTGAAGGGCTTTTAACTACATAATCATATATCGTAGGTACATATATCTTATAAATAATTCAATGTCATGTACTAGATCATATTCTTAACCTTGCTAAATATACTATTTTTTTGTTTGAAGCTATACATGTCAAATGAAATTTGTTTGTATTTGGGTCGGTAACTTAATGTTTGACAAATTGGAATAGTCCGTCCAATAATGGCAATCCGGCATTGGCTCCCGACCTGCACCTTAAAATTCTACTGCAAACTGGGAAGGTTCTTTTAATAATATCAAGTTAAAGAGTTATTATAAATAAATTTATGGTAGAAAATAAAAGTTAGTTTCTTAAAAGTCAGTATTTATTTACGATACAGATAATAAATTCTGACACTTAATATTTGTTCGCTATCATATAAAAGCCCTCTCCTCTTCTTGAGACATGAGACAGCAGCAGCTCCCCAAGCTTTTGTAAGCCTTACCTTAATGGATAAAAATGATTGAATTCATAGTCGTCAAAAAAGTTGTCAATCCCTCGACGGAATATTGGTACGTACTCGTACATGTACAAGATATTATGAAAGTGATTGATTTACAGTTTCCTCATTGCCAAATTGTGACCCAAATATTCTAAATATTATACTTTTTAAACACTCCTGAAATGTATAGCTTTGAAACAGGGACACTTTATTCTTCCATGTTCTATCACTAGCACAGTAATTCTCTCTCATAATTTCATATGATCTGATGTAGCATAGGCGATACACGAATTAATGTATTGTATAGGCATGTTTGTATATTAGTAATGCCATAATATGTGTTCAAAATACTAAATACTTATAAGTTACTTGGTGATACTCGTAGTACATTTAAACCGGTAACTGGATTGAGAATGTAAAACATCTAAATTATCTACTGTCTACGCTTCTTATTTCATATGAACTTTACCTATTTCAAAATTCAAAAACGTTAGAATTCTCGTTTACCTAAAAATATATTGATACTGATTTGTTTGAGTCAAAACTTGTTAATATAATAAGCCATAAGTTACAAAATGAGTTGCCCAAACACATGAATACCTCGCGATGACGTCTTAGACCTATTTTTCCTAGAATGCCAGGAAGTTGTGTCCGACTCTATTACAAGTCCTGCAATTTAGGAGGAAACATAATCATTCAATACTCTCAATTTTCTGTATCTGATGAATAGTTATTAGCAGTATCAGTTTGTCGCTTCTTAAGCGATCATCACCACTTTGTAGAACAAGACCGCGATGTATCTCTTAATCTCCTCCCATTTAACGGATACAACTTTATCCTGTAGCGAAACGGCTATAAAACTACTTTCAGCAAACCTTGCCTCTTAGATTATACAATTTTGAAATTGATCCATCGACGACAGAAGCATTAAAAATTTACATACAGCAAAACATGGAACTTCCTCCTTTTATGAAGTCGATTAAAAATGAATACCCTGAATGACAGATTTTATTTTCCAAGCGTTATTCATCAAAAATGGATACTGGACTTATATTCAATAATGTATTCACGCGTTTCAATTCTCGTCTAGTTATTGGCTTATATGTAAATATATATTAATATCATAATTATGACATATCATCGTAAATCATTGCGATCGTTACCTGTGCTTTCCCCACTGTTATTAATGTTACAGTAGAGAAATTATTAAATAACACGACTCTTCTTCGTCTTAAATTATAGTATATTATTATAGTAGTAGCCTAGTGTACATTAATAATTTATATTAATGTACAATGTTATTATTTTATCATATTTGTTGCATTAGATATGTATCTTAACATGTATCGTGTATTTATAATAATGAATTTAGAGATTATAAATGTTATGTTATGTATATGAACTTAAAACATTTTAGCTTCTAGATGCGTATAAATTTGGCACCTTATTAAGTTGATTTAGACTAAAAATCCCTAAAGGTTTATTGTGATTATTAACATTTAGAAATGTGTAAAGCAAACATGAGCACAGAATATTAAGCATGTAGACAAAACAAATTGAATTTAAATACGCTGTTTTATACGCATTTTATTGTTATTTATGTAGTACGAGTATAAAGCTTGTATGTTATAAAATAATTATGTGACTATATGATACTATTGGAAACTGTTTGCCAAAATTTAGGTATAGTAATTATTAATAACGGTAAATTAAATTAAGTTACGGCTGTATTTTTAAAGCGTTGTTGAAGGTTTTATGCTCATTGTCACAATAATCCCTAATATACCTTAATAACAGTTATGGTGAAAAAATGCAAAATCAGCTGTATAAATAAAGACGCAAAGTAATCTATATTAATATATCAATATCATAGTCGATTATAAAAATACAAAAAAAAATGTAATGTTACAATACATTATACAACATATTGTATAACGTAATGTAACATTGTTATATTTAATTTTAGTGAGATAATAATGGAGGTATTCACAATATATCCATTTTATATGTAAGTAAATGTAGGCTTTGTATGTTGAACTATTGATTATATGAAAGCAGATAGTGAGGCCAATTCATTAGATTAGAAAAGTGTTAACTTAGTTTCTAGAGCTAGAAATTTATTTTAATTGGGATTCCTACCATATTTATCTAAACTTATTACATTTTTTATGTATAACGTTAACGTTACATAATTTTGTTTTAGAACGTAAATTTTATCTTAAATGTAATTCTTTCGTACTTATACTTAGATTTAAAAACATGACATGATCCGTCAAAAAGTCCATAAATTGTTATCTCAATGATTTCAAACATAAGGTAGATATATTAAAAAATATGTTATGCGTAGAATAATAGTTTTTATAACTATATAAAATTCATTACTACGGATTAACCACAATCAATACTAATTGTTTGTATAATAAAGCTCAGTTCTGTTTGTGTTTTCTATCACTTGTTTGTTAGTTTTTGTGTAATTTGACAAATAGTGTGGATAAATGTATGGGTAGCGACTACCGACCAGACGACTATCTGTTGCCAGAAAGCTGTCTATTTATGTCATACTCAGTCTCACTAGAGCTAGTAACTGTAGTGGCTAAATTAATTAATAATAATAATGATATTGTACCACATTCACACAACGCCATCTAGTCCCAAACTAAGCAGAGCTTTTACTATGGGTACCTGACAACAAATACATTTTTTTGTAAGTACATACTTATTTTAGATTGAAACACCAGGCCAAATTAAACATCAAATGTTCATGCACTTAAATGTTTGACTCCAGTGGGAATCGAATAGCAGTCCGTTACACAAACCACAACAAACCGGTCGTCGTAATTCACTTGATAGTCAAGCTCATCTTCCTCGCAGCCTCTACAAGTATTTAAAACATAAATCTAAAAACATAAATATTAAAAATCATAAATAAATTACACACAGACATAGAAAATATACATAGATAGTAAACATAGAACATTAAATAAGAACAGTAATTCATATTTTCCTTTAATTAAAAAATATTGATACCCCTGCGCCATCCATAAGTTACATCATATTGCACAGAGTCCGTAGTAATGTTATTTGTATAGTAAAAGTTAGAACTACAATTAAACCCCATTATAACCATATCTATAAGGATCTTAGTATATGTAACCAAAGTAGGTATGAATGTAATAAAATATACTGCCATTGAAATTAGAAAGATAATACTAAACGTATAAGTGTATTTCGGTGGTCAATAGTTAAATGTTTGACTACATTTTATTAGAAACTTAATGATATATATACATACCTATCTATCGTTATATTGGCAACCGTCTTTTAACATTCCAGAATTTTATCCGAAATTGACAATGTAATCCTCAAAAATTTACATTACACACATAAATATCCAGGCGAAGACTAGGGTGAATGGACTTCGCTAAACTCAGTACAATGCTAAATTAAGAAGATTCAGTAATTTTAGAAGCAAGAAATCGTTTGCAGTTATAATCACATAATCTTTTTACACTTCAATATTCAAAGCAACGCTGAAGCCTAAAATAAATTACTACTAGCAGGGAGGAGGACGTATACATATATGCATGTTGATTGACTATTTAAGCACGCAAGCATATAAAAGCATGATGTGCCATGCATTCTACCTCCTATGCAATCTCTAACATTTTTCAAATCATTGATGTCACTACTTTCTTCGGTGAAACCGTAAAATATGTAACAATCATGTTTTAATAAACTGGCAAATATTATACAACAACAATTAATAATAGGGGCCTGTAGGAATAGAAGGCCGGTTTAATTTAATAAGATTACTAGTAATCGACGCATTCAATTTCATGATATTTTGTCAGAATAAATAACTTAGAAACATATCCGAAATTTCGATATTTGAAAGAGTTAATTTTATTTAATTAGCCCTAACTCAAAACATATCTTATAATAACAAACAATGTACCACTGACTTTTATATCAAAACACTTAAAAATTGTATGAGATTGTATGTGGCGAATGTAATAATAGATAACTTACGATAATTATAATTAAATGTAATATTATATGTTATGTGAATGCAAGGCATTGCTAAGTAGTTAATGTAGATATGTGTATTCAAGAAATCGCTATAACGCTTTGTTATATGAAATGTAATACATTATTTTTTGTGCTAAAAGAACTTTTATTTTAGTAATACCTTTACAAAACCTAACATAACACATAACTGGACGAAGTGTCCAGATCAGTTTTCAATAAATAATAGCTCACATCTGACACACGGCCTGTGCTATGGTAACCAGACTGCTGATAAACATATCTACTTATATTTATATTTCTAAATACACACATATTGTGAATAAGTACACAATTATTTGTCCTCGGTGGAAACCAAATCCCCGGCCTCTGATTTAGCAGTCAGGCCCGTCAAAAAGTTTGATATGGTTGTATTTTTTGTTGTGTGTTTTTTTTATTTATTATTTTTTCGTAGGTGTTTCAACTAATATTACCAATAACTATATAAAGTAGGCATACCTTACCCACATTTGGGTCACAAAATGGATCCGTCCACATTAAACATGGGTCATCAATTGCTACGAATATTGCTGAATCACATACAATGGACATCAGTAGAGGACCGCTCTAATATGTTAAAAGATAGGTGTCTTTCATCATGTAAATAAACGTATTTGCTATACTGCAATCAAAATACTCTACAATAGCTATTAAACTTGTAAATAGTGTGTGGGATACCAATTAACATATTTATTTAAAATATTTATTTAAAAAATCTTAAATGGTTATCTGCTATCGAGTTGTTAAAGCTAGGATTACATACGCAAGCGATCATTGCGTCGCCACGGATCGCGAGTCTAAACTAAAGGTAACACAAATATAAAAATCGGTTCACCTAGTCAAAAGTTCTGAGGTAACAAACATAAAAAAAAATACAGTCGAATTGAGAACCTCCTCCTTTTTTTGAAGTCTATTAAAAATAGTCAAATCATACAAAAGCCAGTCGAGTTTAAAAAAAGATTAATGAGTTACATCCGTAACTCAGTCTTGTGGATCCGAATAATTGGTTTTATGTCCAGTACAAACTAACGTTAGTTTTATCATTATATTAGTAGTTATATTACTTTGGAGTGTAATTTTTTACAATTAATAGTAAAAATGACGAATATTTTAATTAAGTTACAAAGTTAATATTTCAGACTTAAACTTTCTCTGCTCAGGTCCCTCCTAATCACCATCTATGTACCGCAGTGTATACTAAAGCAACCGTAAAAGCGCCATCTGTTGAAATATTCGAAATCTTCTTAATTTGTGAGTCCCATACCAGATAGTTGAAATAAAAACTACTAGATGGCGCTCATAGCTGAAAATACGATAATGTGTTGCCACACTAACCTCAACTGATGTTTGCGATTTTAGGGAAAAATTACATATCTTTTTATTTAAATTGATTTACTACTTTTTTTATTAAAATTGAATGGTCCCTCATTTCTAAAAAAAACATTGGTTAGTCTTAAAATTTAAACTTATTTATAATTAAATTAAAGGAATACAAAATAGTAATAAATAATAAATTTATTAAACATAATTTTGTATTGTTTTTATAATTTTTATTTCAAACTCCAACATTTTAATTTCTTCATCAGGTTTTAAAAATATATATTGGGACTTAGTATGAGTATACGGTGGCAGCACTCGCCACTTATTTATTTCATTCAATTCATTCGGCCGGCTACAGCAGGTGTAGGTTGTGGCGTGTCGTGTTACGACTGTTATGGCGGGATTTCGTGAATATGAAGTTTTGACAAACTTTTTGGTTTTAAAGTAATGAACTAAAACGTAAGAAAAATATCTAAATCATAATAAAAACTGTAAAGAATAGTAACAAACTGCAAATAAGTGAGAGAAAACTGGTCAGGATGTCGGTTAATTCAAAGTGGCGGTTACCTGACGTTTTTTGTGTTGGTGTGTTGAATGAATGTCGGAATTACGTTTAATTCATGTCGCAGGATGGGTGAGTAAGTGATTCAAGGTGTTTTGGGACTACTTTCGACATGCCTTTCGTGCAGCGCGCCGTGGAACCAAAGTATCTATCAAGGACAAGTTTACGAGACAGCGATGGAAAGCCGAAGGTTTCGGACGAGGAGCTGCAAGCAGTCACGAACTGCACCCTGAGCAATGCGTTGAGACAACTCGCCTCTTTAGTGCTGTTAGCAGAAGATATCTTTAGCGAGTTGACCGCGCAGCTTCAGGACATAACAGAGCGTTCAAAAGTAGCGCAGTCGAAGATTACCAATATCAACGAACTCGTTGAACAATATGACCCCAAGAAAGTGCCAGTCCGTAAGTAATATTTTGTTACTGATATAACATATTTTTGTTTATAACTATTACAAACAGATAAGACTTTTATCTTTGACAATTAATTAACAGTATGCCTTAATCTACAAATAATATTATCCAAGGCCTATCTCTTTAGATGTTCTATAAATAAAACCCCAATACATAAAAGGAGTGCACTAGCATTTAATAGAACTTGAAAACTTAATAAAACTGCCGTAAACTTTCCTTATCTAGAAAAAAACAGTGTAATTACTATTGAAAAGGAACCAATTATAATTTTATACAGGTAGTATGTGAATCGTGTCGTAGATTCCAATTAGGTACTTAGTAGTTAAACACTTTTCCTTCACGCGCTGTTACTCCGAAACTAACAGAAACCTCGTTGGTAACGCCCTGAGTATAAATTGTTTACTAGACCTATGTACTCATTGAATAAAGCCACACACACAAGTCGATTAACATACTTAATGCCGATAACCTTTGCCGATTAGATTATCGTACTAAATTATATTAAGTATATCCTGAGACCCTAGATCCCGATTCATACAAAACAGAAAATTATAACAAACGTAATCATAATGAATTCCCGCTCTTTATTTGTAACAGAGGGTTCGTAACTTTATTCAAATTATAATATAACGGTACAATATACGATTACGAAGGTAAAGGTAAACCACGATCATCATTCAAGTCAATACATATACCAACTGTCGAACAGTACCATAGGTTAGTTCATTTACAGTTAAAAAACTAACCTACCCCACGATATGTCTACATCCTACATCATAGTACACAATAGTCTAACGAAAAAGACTAATTAGATTCTAGCTAAATTCTTAAAGAGGCTCAAGCAAAATTTCTCACTAGTTTTTTTAATTTTTCGAACACAATTGCGCATTATGTATTAAAGTATCTGTAAGCTACTTACGTCCATCAAATAGCCAATAAAAAGACGTCGACGCGAGCATTTGTAAATTAAGCTCATTGAAAGGACCGTTCCGAAACTCATTACCTTGTCCTCCTTGAATACGCCGCTTTTATAAAAACGTACCAAGTTGATGCATTACTCTGAACGCTATCTAAAAACCTGTTTGAGAGTTCGAACGGACCCACGATGGGGAAAAAAACTCCCAGATTCCAATGCGAACCATAAAAACGTCTCGAGATAATTTCCGACCCATCCAATGCTCGAGTCCGACGCTTGATTCTGACCGCTGAAGTATTTAACACATGAGCAATGGAATTCCTTGCTCCTATTTAAAACGACAACTCACCTATTTATAGGTTACAAGCTTATATTCCGATCAATAAAGATAAGATCAACGTTTAATTGATTGCGGCATTTGTACAAGACCAAAATATACAACGCTCATAGGTAGGTACGTACACCATTATCGCGACTGCTGTACCACTTGATTAATTTATAAATAAATATGTAAATGTACTGCCACAAAAAACTAAACAGAACATTCCGATAATTTGAAAATACCCTTACGAAAATATAGATACGTATATGTTTCTGTTAGCCACGACACTGTAATAGACTGTCGACATCGACACGAAAATATCTTTAAATGCATTCGTAACAGAAAACAAAGTGCGATAACTAAGAAAAGAGACAAACGTGCATTTAACAGGTTGAGTTAGTCGCTTTTGTATGGCGAGTAAGCGCTGCAATCCTTTGCACAACCTTTCACCTAGGCGATAAGAGTGTCATCTCATGAAATCTTTCCTTTTATGGTTTATTTAAGTATTTGCACGTTAAAGAATCTTACTTGAACATAGCTTGTGTTGGATTTTATGCCAAATTACATTCAGATCGCCAATTGCTTTGTGTTAAAAGTACTAAAAGCACGGGTTCAGTGATGTTTAAACACGGACATAGACTTAAAAGTCAGTTCTTGCAGTAAATCTCTAAAGCTTTACGTATGTACCTGTGTTACTCTGAAAATTTATAGCCATTGACGGGTTCCGACCTAACATAGCTGCTGTTGTTGTTTCTTATCTTGATTCTGCACTAGTTCATTTGTTATATTCAAATTGTAATTTACATTGTTATGCAGGCTCTCGGGATTACAATTTTCACCCGATTTCAATTCTGAGTCGATCACTCATCATATTTCTATGAATATGATCATTGACCACATCAAGTAGGAAAGAGTCATGTAATTATTTTTCTATGTATTTACTTAAATCGAGGTTCGGTTAATACTCTAGTCAAAACAAATGACGGCTTAGGTACATGTTTCTTGACATTACAGTGGGAGTGATAGTATACAAACAATTAGATAACTAAGTAAATATTAATTCAACAGACTTTGTTATCAACCTCTTAGTGAATATTGTAACAGGTTTGTATATATAGTTACTAATCATAACAGATTACCAAAGCCCAATTAATTTATTCAAATTATTAATTTACTTCAAAAGCAAAGTCACTCAAGAAATTAATTAAGCAATACTTTTATTGTAACTAATTATGACGTTTTTCACAAATGTACGAAGGATCGCTAAAATTACGTCTACCACCTTTATTTAGATTATTACAAAACAAAAAATAAAATTAAGGAGACTCGCTTTCACATACCTCGTATTTTCAGTTCTAATGATTTCATTTAAAAAAAAGGAAACACAATGCATCGAATTCGATCCCTAAAATCATTGATGCAATGATTACAAACTAATAAATTATGATTGTAAACATTACACTAATAATATCCAAAATAATAAAGTTTATGTAGTCATTGTGATTATACCCTTCACTTTATATGATGTCGATAGCATCTGTGCTGTGTCTGTTAGTGGTAGTAAATTATGAAACACTTGACGTAACTGCAATGCATACTGTAGTCATCCTATGCTGGGTGCAATAATCTGGGAATGTTGAGAAATAAATAATACACGTATAATTACGACATTCATATACTATAATAAATAAGAATTTATTATAACATAATACTATCGTAACTTTGCCTGCGTCATTAACATAGTAAGAATTAAACCAGTAAGTTGTTAAGTCCTTTAAAATCTCTTCAGCGGGATCATAGTTGAGTAAAGGAACACTACGCCTTCCTTTTCTTAAAAAATGTAGATAAAAACCGTTAAAAAAACCATAGACTAATAGCACTCGTGAGCAACCTTTAAAAGCTGTTGTTAAAAGTCATTACGAATCGTCTCACGATCACAATTTTTAAGTTCCAGCCTACCGAACAAGCTGGGCTCCGAAAAGGCTTTACTACAATGAAAGGTACTTACGCAGGTCAGCCGCTTATTTTTTATTAAGCATTCTTGTTATAATCTACTTGACTTACAACTCTATAAGAAATTACGATCGTTGCGACAGAGGCTTCAGACTATGTAAAGCCATTGAAACTTATTCAGCACATTAAATACGGTGGTGTTATAACAAAAGTCAGGTGTTCAATAGTTTACTGTAAGTTAGCCACGTCTGTGCAATTGTATAAAGTTCGTTGGCCGATAAAGTTCTTATCAGTTTTCTTTGTAACAAGGAAACTAGTTTATGTCGCAAGAATTAATTGGGTAACCGTGAAATACTTGTATGGAATACTTGTACTTATAACAAATAAAAGTGTCAACGTCATGAAAAATTGTCATTTTTGAAGTGCGCTTATTGACGTGTATAAGAAACCTACTCAGTAAAATTGTTCCGCAACCTTAAAATCCGCAATATTTCTCTTAGTGTTATTTATAGTTATTTAATATTACAAATATAAAACTCAGTTTATCCATTCATTAAATTCAGCGATTAATCATGGAATCATATAAAGATATTTGAAGATTTTTTAGGAAAAACTACCTCAGGTTTTGCAAAAAAAATATAAAAAAAATGCACCAACTGCATAAATCATGCCACTAGAAACTTATACTAGCAATTTTCGATCCTTAATGTGATTTAATTTCCAAAAACTATGCTTACTAGCTTTACCGACACACGCCGGTGGAGCCACGGACCGGCGTGTGTCGGTTATCTCGGTAAAAGTAGAGAAAATCCTTCCTCAAGAATATATATATATCCATGCCAAATTTCATTAAAATCAATTCAGCTGATAAGCCGTGAAAGTGTAACAGACAGACAGAATTACTTTCGCATTTAGAATATTAGTAGGGATTAATAGGTGTAGTTTTTTAATATACTAAAATAATTGACATCAAAGAACGTGGTAAATAATCATCGTTGAACATGATAAAAAAGGTAAACGAATTGAAAGCTTCCCTCATATATTTCTTTTAAATAACTTTAAAATTCCCACCGAGCCTTTATCAAGAGGAATGTTCGTACCCGTAGAATAACACGCAAAGAGCAAGGTTCATCAAGATTCACAGTCTACCATACACAATCTATTCTGCATTCGTTGTGATCAAATGTCATGGTGTTTGGCAAACAAAGAGAGCTGTGACACAAAAGCGTTGGTTTTCCCATGCTTGATTTATCTACTGCGTGAGGAACGTCCATTCAACCGTAAGCACGTCAGTAATGCCAGCTAAAGGACAAACTACGCAATAACCAACCTTATATTTATTCGTACAAAACTAGTTACTTTCAGGTTGAAATGCATCCCTCGTAGTCGTGAACAATCAAATTGATTTCCTTTATTTTATACTCTCAAAGATGCCTCGGTTTGTGTATCGCTATATCTTGAAATAGGCATTTGAATTCTTGAAATGCCAATGCTTTTGATATTCTTATACCAGCTCATAGAGCTCTAAACTTGTTGTATGTTTAATTTTCTTTTTAAAATGTGTATGCCTCAGTTTCAATGCTGTAAAAAACAAGTAAAATTATCCATATACTACTGCTACTAGTACTCCTTTGTATTTATTACTAACTAGCTGGTACCCGCGACTTCGTTCGCGTGGAATTTGAAAAGTGGGCAAAAATTTAAAGAGTTTTTCCAAGAGGGAAAATAGCCTAAATTACTCCTTATATAAACAGCTACCAGGTAGTAAAATATTATCAAAATCGGTCTAGCCGTTTAGAAGATTACCC